AGCCAGTTCTCCTGCCGCTCCCAGCTTGTTTATTTGTTTAAAAGAGAGTCCAGGGTTGAGCTCCCACGCTCAGCGCAGCTCCAAGCAAGCCTCCGAGCTCAAAAGGCAAGCTGGGTCCTAATGACAGTAAACCTACTACCGCGCTCCCCCGTGGGCAGGCAGTGACAACCCAGGCATCAAGAGCACAGGCTGGGACTGGAGCTGGCAAACAGCAGCTGCACGTGTCACCATCAGTCTCCAGTGACTGACACCGATAGGCAGATTCTGGGATGCAGGGGATGGAGGTGGACGAGCAGGTGGAGAAGTGATTAGCAGCAAGTACATCTGAATTTGCAAGGGATTTCATATATCAATGCTTTTAAGCGCTGGCGTGCAGTTAAATAAACCCTGTTTGCATGCCTGAGATTACTGGCCTTTGCACAGAAAGATTAAGTTCTGGTAATCCTTGATGGTAAGAGACACACTGCTCACTTTCCTTGATTCTGGAAGCTTGTACTCAAAAGAAATATTAACTTCAGACAAGCTAATTATTCTAGCAGGGCACTGTCAAAAAAAAAAAAAAGAAAGAAAGAAAAACAGATACAAAGAGTCCCTTTGTAATTTGACCGAAAACACAGCATTCAGTAATACCAAAAGGCTATCTGCAGTGTTTTCAAGAGAATGGCATATTTTGATAAATACATATCCACAGCAGCAAAAACACAGAGACTTGATCAAGTCACATATGAGCCATGCCATTTGCTTACTGTTGTAACCCAAAACAAACAAAGGAAAAAAATTCCTTACCAGTGTGTGCATGCACATACGTGTGTACACCAGCACAGACCCAGACACTCAACCCTTGTTGCTTCTCTATGGGCAATCCTCAGCAGTCCTCACCAACCACTCCAGCCACCACGCCAAATTACTAAATATTCCACAGAGTTCTTAGGATCCTGGCATGGCTCTGTCAAACCACCTTTCCTCTCGACACAACATCTAGAAATTGTTTTGCACTAACACTGGGATTTATGGGGAGCGAGAAGCTCATCCTCCATTGCCTGGGGTGCAGAGCAGACGGCTCCAGGCTCAGAGGGGACATGCCCAACCCCAGGCAGCTCATCAGTCACATCCCTCCCCATCCTGCCAACCTCACTCACAGCATGCCCGGAGAGCAATACCTGCTGCTTCGTAACAAATGCTGAAAAGCTTACATTTTCAGAAATGTGTTTTTGAAAGGCTAGGAGAAGAAACCTGTCAGGCTAACTGCACAGACCTACTGGGGAAAAAAAAAAGGGAAGAAGAAAAAAAGAGGAAAAAAATGAGGGAAGTCCCAAAGAAAACTCTGGCAGAGCCAGCAACTGGTATCATCAGAACGTCCTACTGCAAAAAACTGGACTGAAGGCCGAGTGCTGCTCCCCAGATGCGAGACTCACAGAGGGGCAGCACCAGCACACGGACCTGAACAGCTTTGTCTTGGCCGAGAGCAGAGCAGCTGGATGCCGTGGGAAGGCAGCACTCTGGGATGGACACGTTGGCACTGGAAGAATGCCAGCAGAAAAGTTGGGGATTAGGGAAGAAATCTCACACCATCTTTGGAAGGTGCACAGAATGCCTCTCTAGCAACACCTTATCTTTGAAATTACTTGGAGGCGATTGAACTTCACCCCTTCTAAGAGCTCAAGTCACCCATACCAAAAACATGACCTTAAACTAAGAAACCTGACCTTACAGTAGCTCAGACAGAGCTTTCAACAACTTAACGCAGGGGTCTTTTTAATTAGATCTTACAAAAATCCCTCAAACAAAACATTAAGGAACAGAAAAACCAACCAGTCAGCTTCCAGAGCAGGAGACAGGTGAAAGACTGGAGTAGGAATGCAAGTTTGCTGGACAAACTCCTACCCAAGGTTGCCTTAGCATTTTATCCATCATCTCACAGCTCTGCTGCAATGTTCTGCAGGCCGGAAAGATGCGGTGTCTAATTATTGTAGCTGTGCAAGTGAAGTACAGGGGAGCTAGAAAGCGTGTGGACTAACAAGTAACCTATCCAAGGACTAACATGTTTGTGTAACATGTTAAGTGTGTGTGGCACTAAAGAACAAAAGCATTTCTATGCAGCACGATCTGAATATACACTGTTGTTAACACACACACAACCAAAATATGAGCAAAATAATTACAACAGCAAGAAACACATAAAGAAGCTTAAGTATTGTGCTTAGGGAACCAAATAAATGCATGCATGAACATGCGTATGAATCATAGCCAAAGGATCTTTATAGAGTGCGGCTGTGGGAGAGTTACAGCCCACTGGTAGCTGTGGTACTGGTATGAGCATGTCCGAACCTCACAGTGCTTCCTACATACAGTCTGGCTGCAGCAGAACGGATCCAGCGCAAGCTGAGTTACACGGCTGGGCACGGCTGAGCCGGCCCAGCGTTCAGAAGACAGAGAACACGAGAGTGACACCCAACCAGTTACACCCAGCAGGTGAGAAGCTGCTGCCACCTTCACACACGCACACCCCCCCTTTGCAAACCAACCACTCCTGGAGCATCAGAAGCAGCCTGCATAACAGTCAGTCAGTTCAATAATTTCCTTAAGCGCAAGTCATTTCTCCCTCCCTCTTGCGCTACCTTGTGACATTTTAATTACCGTTGAACCCAAAAGGCAGCCTGGAGACTTCCCACCCAGCACAGACCTTACAGAACAGCTTCCCCGCCACCCAAACGGCCACCACAGCACTCGCGATGTCACCACCAGCACCAGCTCTCCTGATGTTCTGAAGATTCCCATATGGTCACTCTTAGATGCGCTACGACGACCCGACCGAGCAGGAGGCCAACTCCTCAACCGCCGTCTCTGGACACGGCCCCCCCCCGCCCCTCTGCGGCCAGCAGGGAAACCTGGTTCGGCCCCGCGAGGCCCGCGGCCGGCGATCCGGACGACGCTGCGGCCCCACAGGCGGCAGGAGGAAGCCCCGGGCGGAGGCCGGGACCCGCGGCCAACCCTCCTCCTCTCAAACGGGGGGGGACCTGGCAGGAGAGACCCGCACACACGGAGCGGCACGCCGGCCCCGGCCCGCTGAAGCGCTCCAAGGCCCAACCCGTCAAGACCCACGGCCTCACCCGGCGGCCAGCCCCGGCCACGGGCGCAGCGAGCAGGCCGAGCCGGGCCCTGCTCGCTCCCACCGGGAGTTCTCCCGGGACGGGACGGGACGGGACCGGACGGGGCAGACCCGCCCGGACACAGCGAAGCCCAGAACCCGCTCCGCGCTCGCTCACTCACCTCCCCTCACCTCACCGCCCGGCCCGGCCCGGCCCGGCCCGGCCCCGC